CATTGTCATAGGGCAACATTTGTAGTAACTGTTAAATGAGAAACTATTTTGTTCTGTAAGCCTTCATCTTAAGTGAGAATAACAGACTGATTGGAAGAGTGTAGTCAATGTCACTGAACTGTGCACGTAGAAATTTTCAAAACAGTGTATTGGCTATGTGTATTTTCACCAAAAAAAAAAAGGTTGAGAAGTTAGAAGGTTAATATGTTGTGGGGTTGCTAACCAATGTCATAAAACAACATGTGCACTAATGTTTCCTGAGAAACTATTGGTTGTGTAAGCCGTCACCTGAAATACAATAAAATATAAAAAAAAAAGAATAACATAAATAAACAGAGGTTATCTGGTGCTTTAAGTAAACAAAACTACACCTTTCCTTTGGGGGAAGGGGCATGTATTATTTATAATTGTAGTTATAGATTTTCCCTCAGATTAAAATAACAACATGTGTTAATAAACAAGGTTTACAGCCTACAATCATTTTCCTCAAGGAAAAGAAAAAGAGAATAAATAGTTTTTAAAAATAAAGACACTTCTCTCCTCAAACTGTTTTCCAAAATCAATAACCATCTTAGCCAGTCTTAGCAGAGTACTCATCTTTCAAATCACCGATTTCCAACCTTTGAGTATGAAGACCCTCTCAAACTTCAAAATAATTTTCGAATCTACATAATAATTACAGTTTCAGAATCCACTGATTAAGAAAATGACAAAAGGTTATCACAAATTCAAGAGCAGTTTAAAAATAATGGTTTTTAAGTAACAAAAGCTACATATACTTGAAAAAGAGAGGTACATAGTATGTATTCAGGACCTGTTAAACTCTAACAATAATTCCATGATTCTCCATGTCTGACACATAAGAGTTTCGGAATTCCATTCTTAGATTCTATTATATAAAAGCATGCCTGCCTCAGGTAAATAAGGAAAGAATTGTTTAAATTCTTACCTTCAGTAACAACTCAGATGCAGTCTGATGTCACAATAGCCACGAAAGCAGTATGTAATAAATTGTAACATATACTGAAGTGCTTTGAAATAGTCAAAGGAATACGGTAAAATTTGCCATTTTAACAGGAATATAATACACTGACCCAACTAGGGTAAAATATATGCTATGTATCCCACTTTCCAGGACCCTGACTTCTGAAACGCTCCAGAACTGGAAGGGGGTTAAAAAAGAAAGAAGGGGGGAGGGGACAAAAACCATGGTTCTTGGAAAATAAGAGGCTCAGACATCTAAGAACATGCAAAAACAGGCAAATGAAGCAAAAAACGGATTTAGGACTAATTTTAGGTGACTGGTAATTTGTTTTAAAAAGAAGGAGAGCTCTCTGATTGGCTGGCTACCTTATTTTTCCTGAAGGAAAGCTATTAGAAGACAATGCAACAAAAAAGAGAAGAAAAAGAAAAGCCAGAAGAACATTAGGCAATCAGTAGTAATAGTACAGTCTGTTGGGACAGACTGTGGAAAAATGAGTTGATGATAAAGGATACACATTAACTAAAATTTACCTGACGTTACTCTAAACATCAGACACAGTGCTACAGTATAGGAGGTCAAAGAGCCATTATGCATTACATCATGGTAAAAACAGGGCTCTTCTACTGTATTGTGGCATAAAGCTACTAAAGCCCACCACAATGCATACAAATGACATCTTTGGATTAAAGACAAAAAACAGTGATGACTTTTCCAGATCATCAAGAAAGAATCATGTTCATAATGCTTGGCTATGATCAACCAAATACTTTGGAAACCAATTAGGATATAAATAAAAAAAAATTTAAGAAATAATTAATGGTGACTGGCGTCTGGGGTCTTAAAAGCTAGCAAGCGGCCATCTAACATGCATCAACTGGTCCCAACAACCAGGAGTAAAGGAGAATGAAGAACACCAAAGCTACAAGGAAAGTATTAACCCAAGAGACAGAAAGGGCCACATAAACAAGAAACTGCATCATCCTGAGATCGGAAGAATTAGATGGTGCCCAGCTACCACCAATGACCGCCATGACAGGGAACACAACAGAGAGTCCCTGATAGAGCAGGAGAAAGGCTGGGGGCAGAATTCAAATTCTAGTGAAAAGGCCAGACTTAATGGTCTTACTGAGACTGGAGGAACCCCAGAAAGCATGGCCCCTGGACTCTCTGCCAACCCAGAACTAAAACAATTCCCGAGGCCAACTCTTCAGACAAAGATTGGACTGGACTGTGGGACATAAAATGATACTCGTGAAGAGTGTGCTTCTTAGCTCAAGTAGATACATGAGGCTAAATGGGCAGTTTCTATCCGGAGGGGAGATGAGAAGGCAGAGAGGGTTTGGAGCTGGCTGAATGGACACGGGAAATCAGGGGTGGAAAGGAGGAGTGTGCTTTCCCAGTATAGGGATAGCAATTAGGGTCACATAACAATGTATGTATACATTTTTGTATGAGAGACTAACTTCAACTGTAAACTTTCACTTAAACTACAACAACAACAAAAAAAAAAGAACTCAAGAAAACAGGGAAATAAGGCATACTGTAGAATGATTACCAAAAAAAGTATCATTTAAGTTGGTCTCTTTAACTGTTAATTTTGAGTTAACCATAAAATTTGTCTGTTCAAATTAGATCATTTTAAAGATTCCAATTAACTAGGATTTGATATTTTATATTGTTTTTCTAAAAGTGGTAATGAATTTTTGCTAACTCATCTACATGGTTTTCAACGTGAATCACATCAAACAAGATGATGGCCACAGTTAAATAAACAATCTCTGACTAGAAAACTGTGAAGCAGAAATAGGATTACAGTCTCCTTGAAGATATATTATCATGAAAGTAAGCTAATATAAAATTGTTATGCTTATTATTAATTAATTTTGACACAGAATTGGTTCTGGTTTTCCCCCTAAGGGCAAAGAACATAGCTCAATACTGTAGATTTAAAATCCTAATCCTTGCACAATATTTTTCAAATATTAAGAAATAATGGATTTAGGAATGTTTGATATTATGCAAAACAGATCTAGCCCAAGAGAATCATTTTATTAGGTTAAGGTTTATCTTAGTTATCTAGTGCTGCTACAAAAGAAATACCACAAGTGGACGGTTTTAACAAAGAGAAGTTTATTTCCTTACAGTAAAGTAGGCTAAAATTCCAAATTCAGGGTGTCAGCTCCAGTGGAAGGCTTTCTCTCTCTCGGCCTTCTCATCAGTGTTTCCCCAGACTAGGAGCTTCTCGGTGCAGGGACCCCAGTCCAAAGGACACACTCTGCTCCCAGCACTGCTTTCTTGATGGTATGAGGTACCCCTGTCTCTCTGCTCACTCCTCTCTTTTATATCTCAGGAGATTGCCTCAGGACACAATCCAGTCTTGTAGATCCAGTCCTGCCTTACTAACACAACTGCCACCCATCCTCCATCATTAACATCATAGAGGCAGGATTTACAACATATAGGAAAATCACACACTACCAGGAATCATGCCCCAGCCAAACAGATATACACATTTTTGGGGGGAAGTAATTCAAATCATGACAAGGTTCCTCAGCATCTGTGACTTTAAATTTCACTCATGCATCATTTCATTATTGGTGAACTCATGCAACTACTACTACTAATTCAGAAATAAGTTTTAAAATATAACTCTAGTATTTTTTCCAAATCTACAATTTTAAGAGTTTATGCTTCAATAACGTCTAAGATAACAATCTCCATGCACTGATACCTTGAAATGACGATAGTATAACTGATGGAAACATTATAAGCAATTATGTCATTCTTTTAATCTGTTTCTTTTTACAGTTTCTATAATCTTATGAATAGGACTAGAACATGTTAAACATAAAATCACAAACAAACATGAATCCTAACTGCTCATTTAATTAAGATGTATGTCTATGAGCAACAAAGGAATAATGATGTGGTAAAGTTTTTTGTTCTCTAGTTCCAAGAATGCCTTGATACTATATGCTTATCATCACTGAGATAGGATAAAGTTTCAATAACCTATACGCTTGTCATCACCGAGATAGGATAAAGTTTCAATAACCTATGTTTTCCTCCTTGTAGACTTTGATATTGGGCTTACAGTTCTTTTCAGAAAGTGTCAGGACCACTACTCACATCTGATGAAGAACTTGTGCCATGGCAACTCCATTAGTCAGCTGTTTGATATCTTGACAAGGAGCCACGGTACTGAATGTCTGCAGCTGAAATGACATAAAGCAAATGACCTTACTGCTACTTTATACCTATAGGGTACAGGGTAGCATTACCCACTCCCCAGAACACTGAAAGGGAAAAAACAGTTAAATATTGCCATGTTTTGTTTAAACACAGGCCCTGTCAAACAAATGGAACTACAGCAATGCTTTTCTATGGATATGTAGTATTTTTTAAATAAACATAACATTTCACAAAATCATGCCTAAGATATTGATTATTCAGAATAATGCACAGGAATGAAGTAATTTATAATCTCTGAATAATACAAAGCCCCAAATAGAACTCTTAAGAGTAACAGTCTGCGCTTTGTCTATTTTTCGGAGAATAACATCAGAAAAAGAACTTTAAGATAACCCAACATTTGCAAGTTAAAATTTCATTCATATCACTTTATAGGAAACCAAACGCTAGAAATGACTAAAACTATAGTTTATCGATAAGCTATGAAATAATAGGACTTCTGTCTGCTATCCAACAATCATCCTCAGGGGATGAACAATTAAGAGCCCATCATGTAAAATAGTTTCTATCTAGTTTGGGTTTAGATATTACTGACTTTTAAAACTCTAATTGTTAGACATTCGTGTACATATTAAAAAGGGAAATGGGGCAGTGACATCTCTTACAAGTAAAAATGCAAATACAAGACAGAAAAATAAGTTTAAAATGATTTACAACAGAATTAAAGGGAATCATCCACTTTTTACAAATCTGAAATTGACCCATCAAGGTGATAAACTATGATTCTCTTTTCCTACATATGCTCATTTTCAGTATTTAGTTACAAATCCTTTATTTAGCACTTAATTAACTACCTTAATCTGATAAAATCTCTCCCACTTTAATTCCCCCTTAATGTTCCTGTGCATTTTGAGATTTTACAAATCTGCTTCCACTGTCCTAATACAACACGGAAGAATGACATAGACAAGCTGAAAGTAGCCAGGGTTACTTTCAAAGTACACAGAGATACTTTACTGAGCTCCTACTCTATGAAGACACTGTTACATAGGATGAAATTAAAAAGGAAAATTACCAGGTTTCTACCCCGAAGTAACTTCGGTTAAGAGTTATGGAGGGGAGAAAAAGACACGAATATTTTCTAGACAGTAGTAAGTCCGATGATTATACTATGCACAAAATGTTCTAAAAAACAGGAGAGTCAACTAATCTAATCAGGCCTTTGTATTTAGGAAAGACTTCTTGGAGATGATTTCCGAATGGACGGTCTTGACGGATGAGTAGTATGTATTTCTAAATGAAGAAAGGGAAGGAAGCTTCAGGAAGTAGGAACATGATAAAGGCACAGATACATGAAAAGAGATGGCATCTTGAGGGAACATAAAGTTCAGTATTACTAGATTTGCAGTGCAAAGGGGGATGTGGTACGAGTGGTAGACCAGGGGGTTGAAGAGACAGGCAGGAGTAAGGACTCTGGAGGGCCATTACAAGAAGCTTGGACTAATTTTATACTTAATAGTATCATCTATATAATGGGAAACAGAATAGTTTCTACCTCACAGGATGGTTATGAGAATTAAATAAATTAGCAATCATAACATACTTAGAACAGTGCCTGGTACGTGGGATAAGCTCAAAAACTGTTAGCACATTATTGACGAGCCAAAGTCTAGGAAAAATATGTATCAGAATCTCCAGACATATTAAATCAGAAAATCTCCAAATGATTCTTATGCACATCAATTTTTGAGAGCCACTGCTATGGGTGATGAAGACTCACTGAAGGGTAATAAGGAAGAGAGTGACATCTTCAGTCTATTTTGGATAGCAGCAATAGCAATGCAGAGAATGGTAGCTTTACGCTCGAGTCAGAAAGACCAGTTAGAAGGGCTCCTACAATAACCCTACTGATAAAAATGGATAGCTGAGAGAGATGACAGCTGAATTAGGGTAATACTGACTGAGAAGATGGAATGATTTCATGGAATATTTAAAATATATCAAATAAGAAAGATTTTGCAACTGGACGAATGTACAGGGAAGAGAATCCCTAGGTTTTAAGGCATCTTTAAAAGAAAGTTATTCATATACTTTTAGGTTAACTGTTAGTTCAGCTTTTCAACCCTAACTACTTACCGTTTATATCATTAACATTTTTAAAAATGAGTATGGTTAGTGATTTAAAGAGGACAACTTCAGAGACGCAGGATATTAGGCAAAATAGTAAAAAATATATATATATGTATAAGGAGGATATATGCTAAGTAGTTGCCTTGTTGCCCACCATGTTCAGATTAAGATCAATTTCTCCTCCTTATAGCCATAAAAACTGAAGCCTCTCTTGGCGGTTCTAAAACTAGCTGCAAAATAAATTAGATAACAGAGAATACAATTTCATTAGGCTAAACTCAAAGGCTTTATAGCCCAGAATAGAGAATAAATTAAAAAGCTCAGTAGGGGTCAGTGAAGCACAAGTAGAGGGACAAAAGAAAATGCGTTATTTCACACTACTCTCCATAGAGGTGGCAAAAGCCTTCTTAGTGAGTGACCAAAAAAAAGACAGGGCTCCTACAGGTGTCCATTGCTAAACACAATGTCCCAGTGAACAATCATCTTACTTTCTTCCCATTTTTTAATAAAGTAAATAATCAGAAATGAGGAAATGCATTCCTGAGCTGCTTCAATATAAAGATCACAGAAATCAAGGAAGAAAAAGGAGTTTTCACACCTGATAGCCAACAAAAATTCAACCATAAGTCAACTCTATTCCCATATTCTCACCCTCTAGCTCCTTATTTCAGAGAGGAAGCCACTGTTTTGAATTTAAAGATCTTCATAAAAAAGATTCAGCCTTTACATTGGACAAAGTGCAACACCCATTCCTGATAAAAACTCTCAAACAAATAGGTATAGAAGGGAAATTTCTCAACATAATAAAGGGCATCTATGCAAAACCAATGGCCAACATCATTCTTAATGGAGAGAGGCTGAAAATATTCCCCTTGAAAACAGGAACAAGACAAGGAGGCCCTTTATCACCGCTCCTATTTAACATTGTGCTGGAAGTTCTAGCTAGAGCAATAAGGCAAGAAAAAGAAATAAAGGGCATCCCAATTTGTAATGAAGAAGTTAAACTGTCCCTGTTTGCAGATAATATGATACTATACATAGAAAACCCTAAAGACTCCACGAGAAATCTACTGGAACTAATA